ACAAAACAGACAAAACAGACAAAACAGACACAACAGACAAAACAGACAAACCAAACAAAACAAACAAAACAGACAAAACAGACAAAACCAACAAAACGAACAAAACAAACAAAACAAACAAATCAAACAAAACAAACAAAACAGACAAAACAGACAAAACAGACAAAACAGACAAAACAGACAAACCAAACTAAACAAACAAAACAGACAAAACAGACAAAACCAACAAAACGAACAAAACAAACAAAACAAACAAAACAAACAAATCAAACAAAACAAACAAAACAGACAAAACAGACAAAACAAACAAGACAAACAAGACAAACAAGACAAACAAGACAAACAAAACAAACAAAACAAACAAAACAAACAAAACAAACAAAACAAACAAAACAAACAAAACAAACAAAACAAACAAAACAGACAAAACAGACAAAACAGACAAAACAGACAAAACAGACAAAACAGACAAAACAGACAAAACAGACACAACAGACAAAACAGACAAACCAAACAAAACAAACAAAACAGACAAAACAGACAAAACCAACAAAACGAACAAAACAAACAAAACAAACAAATCAAACAAAACAAACAAAACAGACAAAACAGACAAAACAGACAAAACAGACAAAACAGACAAACCAAACTAAACAAACAAAACAGACAAAACAGACAAAACCAACAAAACGAACAAAACAAACAAAACAGACAAAACAGACAAAACAGACAAAACAGACAAACCAAACTAAACAAACAAAACAGACAAAACAGACAAAACCAACAAAACGAACAAAACAAACAAAACAGACAAAACAGACAAAACAGACAAAACAGACAAACCAAACTAAACAAACAAAACAGACAAAACAGACAAAACCAACAAAACGAACAAAACAAACAAAACAAACAAAACAAACACATCAAACAAAACAGACAAAACAGACAAAACAGACAAAACAGACAAAACAGACAAAACAGACAAAACAAACAAAACAGACAAAACAGACAAAACAGACAAAACAAACAAAACAAACAAAACAAACAAAACAAACAAAACAAACAAAACAAACAAGACAAACAAGACAAACAAGACAAACAAGACAAACAAAACAGACAAAACAGACAAAACAGACAAAACAGACAAAACAGACAAAACAAACAAAACAGACAAAACAAAAAACAAAAAAAAAAAATAAAAAACAAACAAAACAAACAAAACAAACAAAACAAACAAAACAAACAAAACAAACAACACAAACAAAACAAACAAAACAAACAAAACAAACAAAACAAACAAAACAAACAAAACAAACAAAACAGACAAAACAGACAAAACAGACAAAACAGACAAAACAGACAAAACAGACAAAACAGACACAACAGACAAAACAGACAAAACCAACAAAACGAACAAAACAAACAAAACAAACAAATCAAACAAAACAAACAAAACAGACAAAACAGACAAAACAGACAAAACAGACAAAACAGACAAACCAAACTAAACAAACAAAACAGACAAAACAGACAAAACCAACAAAACGAACAAAACAAACAAAACAAACAAAACAAACAAATCAAACAAAACAAACAAAACAGACAAAACAGACAAAACAAACAAGACAAACAAGACAAACAAGACAAACAAGACAAACAAAACAAACAAAACAAACAAAACAAACAAAACAAACAAAACAAACAAAACAAACAAAACAAACAAAACAAACAAAACAAACAAGACAAACAAGACAAACAAGACAGACAAAACTGACAAAACTGACAAAACAGACAAAACAGACAAAACAGACAAAACAAACAAAACAGACAAAACAGACAAAACAAACAAAACAAACAAAACAAACAAAACAAACAAAACAAACAAGACAAACAAGACAAACAAGACAAACAAGACAAACAAAACAGACAAAACTGACAAAACAGACAAACAGCACCTTCCAGAGGGCCGAACGCCTTCCGGCCGGTGACCTTGTCAGCCGATGCCTGGAGCTGCGCCTGCAGCCACTTTAACTGTAAGGCTTCCATTTGACTCTTAAGGGTTTAGAGTCAGGGCTCGTGGGTTCATGGAGATTTGGGGTTTAGGGTGTCAGGGCTCGGGCTTAAGGAGTCGAATCTGGGATCTTGGCTGCAGGCGGGGGTCACGACGGGGTGCACTGCAGCAAACTCGTACGTTAGACTGTTAGGCACAGCAACATAACCGCAACGTCCCAGCTAAGCACCATTTCTCACTGCCTGCACCGAACAATGCATCGCAAGGACATCATGGGCCTCTGCGATTTTTCAAAGGCAGAGGCACCTGTACATCACCCTGTCGGCTGAGGTTCACGGGTTGCCTGCTCCATGAACGACCACGAAAGCAGGCCTGCCCCCTTGGAAGCCTCACGCCGCATAAATCGCCTTGGCCTTGGCATAGAGCGCCTTCCCCTGAGCGCTCTTGCCGCCGATCACACAAAAGCCCTTGATGCCCAGCTCCTTTCTGGCCGTCGCGACTGCGCTGAGCCAGCCCTGCACGAACTTCTGGATTGACTTCCCCTTGGCGTGCATCTTCTTGCTGACGACCTTGCCGCGCTTGTTCTTCATCAGGTTGGCCTTCTGCAGACCACCCGTAGTCTTCTCCTGATCGGGCGAGGCGAGGCTGAACTAGAGGTTTTTGCCCGGGCCTAAACCGGTACCCGGTAGCTGCTATCACATGCGATGAGGTTCTGATCGTTCCTCCGGAAGCTGCTTTGCTAGAAGACGAGACATCACGAATGCTGCATGTGCTGCGACTCGCGTCTGTATCAGAACCGTGAGCTCTCAGCCGTCCCCGCCTTCGCGCCATTGAAGACTCGAGACTTCGCAAGCCTGCCCGTAGCGATCTTCGACACTGCCTTCTTCTTCATTGCCTGATGAAGACTTGCTGGATGCACAGGGTACTCGCTGTTGCTTAAGGCTGATGAAGGAACTAGCGCCCCCTAATACCGGAATGAGGGTTAAGCCTTCCAGTCCGGGCATTTCCAGCAGGACTGCATGAGCCCCAAGCTCCCTACATTGGCTTTTTTTCTTTCCCTGTAACTTGATGCTTATGGGGCTTAGTCGAGATCTCAAAGGCGCATCTTGTGATTCTTTTTCGGGCATAAGGCCGCGAACCCTCCCACAACCCCCAAGCCCCTCCTTCATGGGCTTCTTCATGGCCTTGGCCTTCATGGCGCTTGCCTTCATGGCCTCGCAGATTCGGGGCTCTCAGGGGCCGAAGATTTTGGGACCCGAAAGCCAGCCGATGATGCCCTACGGCTCGGTATCTTGAACGGCCGTGCTCCACAAGCCCATGCAGGAGATCTAGCAAGGAATCTAAGGTCAGGAAAAGATAGGAAAATGATAACCGTCTCTGAGGCAAGAAGCCTGTTTCCAAGCCAGTAAGAACCCGACATAAGAATCGTGCCATCAAGAAGCCACACGAGTCCTACCCCTTCCAATGCGTGGACTCTTTGGCGGTTAGGCTATCATGAGATTGATGGTGTACGAAGGGACAAAGTTAAACAAGTTAACTAAGATCCAAGAAACCGCACCATAGGGAGATAGAACCCTTTGCAACTCTGGGGCTGGAACCTTCCACCGAGAATCATTCTAGGCGGGCACAAAGGGCTTTCTGGTATAAGGGTCATAAGCCTTAGTGTAGGTGTGTAGGGAAGCCTTCTTCATGGCGGTCTTCATTGGCAAGGCCATGGTTCGAAACTAGCGTCTGCTAAAGCTGCAGCGCGCGGGCGTCTGCGTGATCACAAGGCGAGCTTGGGCCGCAATCGCCGCGCGTCAGGTGCTGAAACAAATGCAGCCATCCTTTCTTAGCTCGCCGAGCCCAAGTTCCCTTCCACCCCCTGCCTAGCAAGCTGCGGGCCCTAATCCCTGGCCCGTAAGGGACCTAAACCCTGCCACCCTGAACCCCAACCCCCCCGCAAGCCCCTAAGCCCCAAACCCTAAACCCCACCACCACCCCAAACCGCGAAGCCTACCACCCTAAAACCTCAACCCCCTGAAGGAGGAGCTTTTGAGCCCATGCCTCGGCGCTTCCCCTCGGCCCCGTCTCCTGCGCCGGGCCTGCGCTGGCAGGCCCAGGCTTGAAGGAGAGGGTTTTAGAGGGGTTTTTCGGTGGGTTTTAGAGGGTTTTTAGGGGGGTTTTCGGGCGGTTTTAGGGCGGTTTTAGGGGGTTTTAGGGCGGTCTTTAATCACGAAGGTCACTCTAAACAGAGCCCAACAAGGACCCGTGAACAAGCTGTCAACACCGCGGTTCTCGGCACTGAGACCAACCTAAAGTGACCGCAGAGCGAAAGAGATGAACAGGAAATCCACCACCTGTGCCACAAGCCTTGACCAGAAACCGCATGAGAAGATTAAGAAACATGAAGCAAGCAGGGCTCTCGGAACACAAATTACATCCCGGTGGCGGGGTCGTTCTACAGGTCTTTTTGCGTGAGGAGAGAGCATGGAACTACCTCTGTGGCGCTGAGACACCCATCAAATCAAGTTTTTTCCCGAAAGCTTCAGCGAAGGGTTCTTCGGAGAAAAAAAACGTCAACCTACCATCACCACACTACAATCACCACACTCCAATCACCACACTACCATCACCACACTACCATCACCACACTACAATCACCACACTCCAATCTCCACACTACCATCACCACAGTACCATCACATCACTTCCGCTATTAAATTCTCTCTTATTTCTTAGGCTGGGGTGGGTTTCGCCGCGGCTAGCGCGATGCACCCCTCTGCGGGGATCGTGCGTGTCGGAGCGCTCCCGCTGTGCGTTTTTGCGCATTGTGATTTGTCGCCGCGCACCCTCTGCGGGGATCGTGTGTGTCGGAGCGCTCCCGCTGTGCGTTTTTGCGCATTTTGATGTGCGCCCGCGCACCCTCTGCGGGGATCGTGCGTGTCGGAGCGCTCCCGCTGTGCGTTTTTGCGCATTTTACAACTTGCTTCGCACACCCTCTGCGGGGATCGTGCGTGTCGGAGCGCTCCCGCTGTGCGTTTTGCGCATTTTACAACTTGCTTCGCACACCCTCTGCGGGGAGCGTGCGTGTCGGAGCGCTCGCGCTGTGCGTTTTTGCGCATATTACAACTTGCTTCGCACACCCTCTGCGGGGATCGTGCGTGTCGGAGCGCTCCCGCTGTGCGTTTTTGCGCATTGTACAACTTGCTTCGCACACCCTCTGCGGGGATCGTGCGTGTCGGAGCGCTCTTTCTGTGCGTTTTTGCGTATTTTCAAGCGTGGTCGTGCACCCTCTGCGGGGATCGTGCGTGTCGGACCCTTCCTCACCTCTTCCTCTCCTCTTCCTCTGCTCTTCTTTTCCTCTTCTTTTCCTCTTCCTCTCCTCTTCCTCTCCTCTTCTTTTCCTCTTCCTCTCTTCTTCCTCTCCTCTTCCTCTCCTCTTCCTCTCCTCTTCCTCTCCTCTTCCTCTCCTCTTCCTCTCCTCTTCCTCTCCTCTTCCTCTCCTCTTCCTCTGCTCTTCTTTTCCTCTTCTTTTCCTCTTCCTCTCCTCTTCCTCTCCTCTTCTTTTCCTCTTCCTCTCCTCTTCCTCTTCCTCTTCCTCTCCTCTTCCTCTCCTCTCCTCTTCCTCTCCTCTTCCTCTGCTCTTCCTCTGCTCTTCCTCTCCTCTTCTTTTCCTCTTCCTTTCTTCTTCCTCTCCTCTTCCTCTCCTCTTCCTCTCCTCTTCCTCTCCTCTTCCTCTCCTATTCCTCTCCTCTTCCTCTCCTCTTCCTCTCCTCTTCCTCTCCTCTTCTTTTCCTCTTCCTCTCCTCTTCCTCTCCTCTTCCTCTCCTCTTCCTCTCTTCTTCCTCTCCTCTTCCTCTCCTCTTCCTCTGCTCTTCTTTTCCTATTCTTTTCCTCTTCCTCTCCTCTTCCTCTCCTCTTCTTTTCCTCTTCCTCTCCTCTTCCTCTCCTCTTCCTCTCCTCTTCCTCTCCTCTTCCTCTCCTCTCCTCTTCCTCTCCTCTTCCTCTGCTCTTCCTCTGCTCTTCCTCTCCTCTTCCTCTCCTCTTCCTCTCCTCTTCCTCTCCTCTTCCTCTCCTCTTCCTCTGCTCTTCTTTTCTTCTTCCTCTCCTGGAAAGTCGACTTTTGTAGTACAAACGTAGTACGCCGCGGACGCCCGGAGCTGCTGTGGCTGGAAAGTCGACTTTTTGTAGTACAAACGTAGTACGCCGCGGACGCCCGGAGCTGCCGTAGCTGGAAAGTCGACTTTTTGTAGTACAAACGTAGTACGCCGCGGACGC